AAAAAAAAAAAAAAAAAAAAATGGTTATTTCTTCCTCTTTAAAAACCAATTTATGACAAACCTTCACAGCCAACATCACAGGCAAAATTTAGATTAAGAGCAATTATAATTCCATTTTTCAGTAACACTAACCACATTTCAAATGCTTAATAGTCACATATAGCTACTGGGCACCATTAAGAACAATCTCTTGAGATACAGAACATTTCCTTAATGGCAGAAAATTCTATTGGACAATACACTCCACTGCATAAGTTGATCAGGAAAAGCTCTGCATCAAAATGACTAAATTCTAGTACGCTATGATCATAAAATTATATTTTCAAACCTACTAGCTCATGACTCCCACCATAGTACTTTAAACCCCAAGGACGTCTCTTTTTTTTCAATTTGGAGGCACACTGTTAATTGCTGTTCGAAAAAAAAAAAAAATCTGTTTATTCCAACCCTAGCTGCACAACTCACTAGTTATATGACCTTATGTGAATCCCTTAACTTACCTAAACTTCAGGCTTCCTCATCTACAAAATAAGGCTGTAACCCATTTCACAGGACAGTTAAGAGGAATAAATGAAATGTAAAGCCCACACCTAAAATATAGTTCTGCTCCTGACACAGACAGGCTATGTTTTTATGTGAATTTTTCCCACAGCTAGCCTTGGGTTGTTTTCAAAAATATGTGAAGTTATAAAAGACTGTTATCAAGTAAGTCAGAACACTTCCTCCATCCTCCCACAAAATGTCTTTTGGGCATTGGGAATCACCAAGTGCTACGTGACAAGACCAGGCTTGATGGAGAATTCAAGAAACCTCGATTTAACAATATGAAATTTAGATAATACTGAGTTGTACACATAATTGTTAGTCCACTTGGTTCAAACAAATTTTATTGCTCTGTTATGTGAAAAACAGCAAGAAATAAAAAACCATTAGTTCCTGCTATCTAGGATTTTATACCCAGGAGCTTTTCTTATAAACCATAATATAAAATACGATATGGTATCACAATATACTATATGTAAAATGATACCGAACTGTACTTCTGCACAATTCAAATATTAAATTCTTAATATGATTATAAGCATATTAAAAGCATGCTATTAGCTGAGGCAGGAAAATCACTTGAACCTAGGAGGCAGGGGAGGTGGTGAGCCAAGATGGTGCCATTGCACTCCAGACTGGGCAACAAGAGTGAAACAACAACAACAAAAAGATTAAGAGATTTCCCCAGGTAAAGTAGTGATGGTAAGTAATTTGATAAATGCCATCTGGGTGTGGTGGCTCAGACCTACAATCCCAGCACTTTGGGAGTCTGTGGCAGGAGGATCACTTGAGGCCAAGAGTTTAAGACCAGCCTGGGCAACATAGTGAGATTCTATCTACAAAAAATACAAAAATTATTAGCTGGGCATGGTAGTGCACACCTGTGGTCCCAGCTACTCAGGAGCCTCAGGTGGAAAGATTGCTTCAGCCATGACTATGTCACTGTACTCCAGCCTGGGTGACACAGTGAGACCCCATCTCAAAAAAAAAAAAAAAAAAAAAAAAAAAAAGCCATGCTAGGAAACAGAAACGACACAAAAACAAATGTGTTTAAAACTGAAGTACTGTTCAAGTAACAAAGGTGCAATATGGTAAAAAAACAGGGTAGATTAAAGAACTAATAATCACACTGAAAAGAGCTTAGAGTGAGACTGAAAATGGCCTTCCATATAAATCTATAGCATTTCAATTCTATCATACTGAATATCCACTTATCTGAAGAAATGGTACATACACACATAAAACTTCTCATAAGCAGCATGAAAGTAATTCCCATCAGAGAAGTAATGGAATATTGTAACAGGGGAGGAGCAAACCTGGGCAGTAGCATTAATAATGAAGAGGAAAGAAGAAATACATTTTAGTAGTACCTCCCAGCATTTCATAGTACTGTGAATAACTCAATATTTAAAAACAATCCTTTTTCTGGTTTTGATTATATCGTCACTACCCAAATATTCAGATTTTAAAGTGCTTCAAAAGGCTGGGCACAGTGACTCATGCCTGTAATCCCACCCCTTTGGGAGGCCGAGGCAGAACAATCACTTGAACCCAGGAGTTCAAGATCAGTCTTGGAAACAAAGCGACACCCCATCTCTCATCACCCCATCTCGATTAAATTCAAGAGTCAAAAAAAAGAGGCCTGCAAGTTAAAATTTACCATTCCTTTTCTCATTTTAAGAACTAAGTGAGTTGTATTTAAGGCTCCTCATTCAGGATATTCATACATTTTAAATTGCTTTAGAAAAGCAAATTAGTTGTTATAATATTAACCTATATACTACAGTTGAATTCTAAAGTTACTACCTCTATCATACTGCTTATATTCAGCATAGAATTTTAAGATGCTATAACACAAGTAACTTTTTACAGTACAGGGTAATGAGTTAAGAGCACAGTTAGTTCAGGCTTAACTAATGCCATGGGCCTGTTATTTACCTAATTTCTGTCTCGGTTTCCTCTTATCTACCCAGTTATTTTAAGGACTGATATTACATGCATATACAGTAAGAGAAAGTCTAAGGGCCGGGTGCAGTGGCTTATGCCCATAACCTCACCACTTTGGGAGGCCAAGGTGGGTGGATCACTTGAGGCAAGGAGTACGAGACCAGCCTGGCCAACATGGCAAAACCCCATCTCTACAAAAAAATACAAAAATTAGCCGAGCATCATCATGCACACCTGTAATTCCAGCTACTCAGAGGCTGAGGCACAAGAATGGCTTCAACCCCGGTGGGGGGTAGAGATTGCAGTGAGCCGAGATCATGCCACTGTACTCCAACCTGCGCAACAGAGCAAGACCCTATCTCAAAAAAAACAAAAACAAAACAAAACAAAACAAAACAAAAAAAAACAAAAAAAAAAAGCCCGGTGCAGTGGCTCAAGCCCGTAATCCCCGAACTTTGGGAGGCCAAGGCAGGCGATCACAAGGTCAAGAGATCAAGACTATTCTGACCAACGTGGTGAACCCCGTCTCTACTAAAAATAAAAAAAATTAACTGAGCATGGGGGTGCGCACTTGTAGTCACAGCTACTCAGGAGACTGAGGCAGGAGAACAGCTTGAACCCAGGAGGCAGAGGTTGCAGTGAGTCAAGACTGCACCACTGAACTCCAGCCTGGTGACAGGGTGAGATTGTGTCTCCAAAAAAAAAAAGGCCAACAAAGAAGAGTACTTGACACAAGACTAAAGTTAGCTTAACTATCTCAAATAAGGCCCCAGTGGGAAAGGCAGGGTATTAGAAATTTGAAAATATACTGTAATAAGCAAACCTACAATTTTCCAATGGGAAACCCTTCACTAAAAAGCAACAAAATCCTACTAGCACTTCCAGAGAGCAGTTAAGGAGTTATCACCCCTGCTCTGAGAACTTTAAACATGCCTTTTCTATTTATTTTCATGAACTTTAAACATGCCTTTTCTATTTATTTTCATGCCTTTTATATTCAATTAATATTATCCAGCATTCTTGTCAGTCAGAGATCATCCATTAAATGACAGAAATACAGATGTTCCACGACTTGTGATGTTACATCCTGATAAACCCAGCGTTAAGTTCAACATAATCTTAAATCAAAAGGTGACTTTTTAACTTACGACAATTCCAATTTGCAGTGAGTTTACCTGGATCTATCAATCGAGGAGCACAATGAATTCATATGGTTTTCACATCATGGTAAAGTTGAAAAATCTTAAGTCAAACCATTATATGTCAGGGACAGCTGTATACAATACAGGCACGTGCCACCATGCCCAGCTAATTTTTTGTAGTTTAGTAGAGACGGGTTTCACTATGTTGACCAGGATGGTCTCGATCTGTTGACCTCGTGATCCACCCGCCTCGGCCTCCCAAAGTGCTGGGATTACAGGCTTGAGCCACCGCGCCCGGCCTACAATACTTTTATATGTATATAACCGATGTGTTATCTTTGGAACTTAGTTGAATTAATCTTGAAAGATTAAAAATAATTATTTGAGCTTATGTGTAGCAACATCACCACGGGGGCGGAAACGTGTATCAACTTATACAGTCTATGACAAAAGCACCACAAAGATATTTTAGGGTAATGAGTAGAAACAAATTCTTAAAATGACAAATAATCCTCCCAATTAGCTTAAAGAAGCCTTCCAGTATATGATTTACTGTATTTAAAATGAGTCCTTAATGTCATTTTTTTCTGATTATAAAAATATATTTATTTATAAAAATATATTTATTTTAAGAAAATTGTGGCTATATACCATAAACTATAAAGGAAATATATATGCAAATATATATAATAAAAATAAAAGTTAGCTATACCTGACCTACAGCTAAGCATAATTAACACTTTGGTGGATCTCCATCTTTTCTGCACACGAACATACTATAAATAAAGTTGGGTTCAATATGAGTAAATGCCCTTAACACTAGAGGGGGCATCTGCTCAAGCAATGTCCAGTACATCAAGTGACAAACAGTCAAAAGTCAGCAAGATATTAAGGTTAAGAATGACTAGTAAATTTACTTATTTCCTCTATGATTTTATATACAAATTAACTTCTAGAAAATGACTTATTCACCCAATTCAAATCACACTCCTTTGGGAAGTAGCATAGTTAAATTTACTATTTTAGAAGGATCTGTGGTGAAGGGTACAAGAAGCGCAGATCATCAGAAGCTCATCCGTGGGCCCCTCTAAAAATCAGTAAATGTCCACCTTAAAAGATTTTCTCTAGCCATCATTTCAAAGCCACACTGTGTGTGAAACCACCACAATGTCAAGAGATTCTATAATCCAAATGCTTTCTTCTCTTGCAACACAATATTCCAAATAGGGGAGACTATTTGAAATAAAACCATCAGAAAGCATATTCCCAAAGAATTTCTCAAGTTAGACCCTACTCTGTTCTAGCAATTTTCACATACTGAAAGGCTGATCACACTTATTTTAGATCAAAATACCTGAACAGGCCTAAAAGGCTCATCAGATTCCTTCCACCTAGAAAACAGGAGACAGACAATTTTTTCAATATCATTCCGAGGCCAAAGAATGAAATCCATCTCCTGAGTACAGCCAATTACATCCTATAAAATGATGAGAAAAAAAAAAGTTTATGTTTAAAGAAACAGCTACATCAAGTAATGTCACCAATTACAGGGTTTGCCTATAAAAACATTCTATAAGTACAAAAGACCTACCGTGTATCTTTTTATATCTTAGGAGGTAAACATAATAGGATTGTCTACAATCTGAATAGCTCATGACCTAACTTTCTTTTTCTTTTTTGGAGACAGAGTCTGTCACCCAGCCTAGAGTGCAGTGGTGCAATCTCAGCTTACTGCAACTTCTGCCTCCTCAAGTGATTTTACTGAATTAGCCTTCTGAGTGGCTGGGATTGCAGGTGTGTGCCACCACCCCTGGCTAATATTTTTTGTATTTTTAATAGAGACAGGGTTTCGCCATTGGCCAGGCTGGTCTTGAACTCCTGACCTCAGGTGATCTACCCGCCTTGACCTCCTGAAGTGCTGGGATTACAGGCGTGAGCCACTGCACCCAGTCCTAATTTTAATTTTTATCTTGTAGAGAGTCACATACACTCAGTCCAATGCTCCTAACATCAAGACCTAGGTTTATCTGTGTATGGTGAAACCTCCAACAAAAACTCTGATTTCTACTGTGCTGTCAGAACCTGAACGTTTATTTCCACCTTTAAAAATCATAACCTAGGGCCGGGCGCGGTGGCTCAAGCCTGTAATCCCAGCACTTTGGGAGGCCGAGGCGGGTGGATCACGAGGTCAAGAGATCGAGACCATCCTGGTCAACATGGTGAAACCTCGTCTCTACTAAAAATACAAAAAATTAGCTGGGCATGGTGGTGCGTGCCTGTAATCCCAGCTACTCAGGAGGCTGAGGCAGGAGAATTGCCTGAACCCAGGAGGCGGAGGTTGCGGTGAGCCGAGATCGCGCCATTGCACTCCAGCCTGGGTAACAAGAGCGAGACTCCGTCTCAAAAAAAAAAAAAATAAATAAAATAAATAAAAAAAATAAAAAATCATAACCTATTTAACAAAGACGTCTTACAACTCCTAATATGAATCACTATCTTATTACAGCTGAAATGCTATTTTTATGTTAATATAAAACTACTTTTCTCCATTGCTGACTTGTGCTTCATTACTGCAGTCACCATATTAATTTCCGAAGGTATATAAATCTCTTCCAGATCAATACCTGGTTATCTCCAGCATTCTCCCCAAATAATTGTGAGGATCTCTTGGTTCAGCTATGCCCAAATTAACTTTTAATATGTTGCAGAAGTTTACAAAGCTGGAAGAACCTCCTTATTTTCATATTCCCCCCAAAAAGGAAATATAATAAACAAAGACATAAGTCACTTATCCCACAATAGTAACACACACCATTATGAGCCTAATATGACAGTTATCCATGTTTTATTTAAGGTCAAATTTTAAAAAACAAACCTATCTAAAAAATTTTAAAACAACTTGAAACCAGGAAACCGGAGAAAAAAAATTAAAAAAAAAAAAAAAACTTTATGCGTAACACTTAAATTATTAAACACAGTTGGCTACTGGCCGGGTACAGTGGATCATACTTGCAATCCCAGCACTTTGGAAAGCCAAGGCAGGTGGATCACCTGAGGTCAGGACCAGCCTGGCCAACATGGCAAAACTCCATCTCTACTAAAAATAAAAAAAATTAGCCAGGTGTGGTGGTATACAACTGTAGTCCCAGCTACTCAGGAGGCTGAGGCAGGAGAGCTGTTTGAACGTGCAGGGGCAGAGGCTGCACTGAGACAAGATCACACCACTGGACTCCAGCATCAGCAAGAGTAAGATTGTCTCAGGGGAAAAAAAAAAAAAAAAAGAAAAAAAAGAGACTGCTATCATCAGCACCTAAAATGGATTAAAGAAATCCGTTTATATACTTTACCCACATAAGACTGGTCTGGGGCAAAAATGTATTTTTCTAATCCTATATAAACACAGTGCGTGTTTAAAGTCATGATCCCAGTTATCAACATGCACAAAGACAAATTTACCTGAAGAGATTGGTGATATCATAACTACCGACTTTAAGGGTGTAGGGGGAAATGCAATGTTAATCCACAGAAATTTATCAAGCCAAGACTTAAGGCAGAACTTACCCTTCTCATAGACTGATATCGAGGAGCATGGAGCTGTACCACATCCTTCTGTAAAAGCTCTAAGGAACTTTCCAAGGAATAGCTGGAATCTCGCACACCTTTCAGGATATTTTCTTCATAATTATTTGTCATGACTGGTATAACCTCAGACACTTCAAAAAGTGCCGACTTTTTCTTCTAAAAGAAAATAAAATGGTATATTAACTCAAAGAAGCAGTCTTTTAACACTCGGTTCATATTACAATGTCCTGTAACTTTAACTCCACAATTGCTGAAAACACATTTTCAGATAAGTAATTCCTTCTGGTCTTCCTCCATTCTCCCCCTCCAATCATACATGTACAAGCTGCGATTAGAATGTTTTTTTAACTCTTGAGTTTTATAGTATAACAGTATCCATAGCATTATTTGACACCATAATTCTTAAAATTATATCTCACCCGTTTTAAAACAATGCTATTCAGACGAATGAATTGTTTCATTCCTTACATGGATCAATTTCCATTACTTTCTGGATACTATATAATCAAAACCATCTATATCCATATAGATTTTGAGATGGAGCCTCACTGTGTTGCCCAGGCAGTGGTGTGATCTTGGCTCACTGCAACCTCTGCCTCCTGGGTTCAAGGAGTTCTGCCTCAGCCTCCCGTGTAGCTGGAATTACAGGCCTGTGCCACAACACCTGGGGAATTTTTGTATTTTTAGTAGAGACGGGGTTTCACCATGTTGGCCAGGCTGGTCTCAAACTCCTGACCTCAAGTGATCTGCCTGCGTTAGCCTCCCAAAGTGCTGGGATAACAGGCGTGAGCCACCTCACCCGGCCAAAACCATCAATATTTGAAAGACTTTAAATTAAAAAAAAAAAAATACAACAAGTTCTCTTTTAACAGTCAAGACCAAGTACTAGTCACAAACCTACCTTTAAAAATTCTATACCATTAAGTATGTATCATGAACTACTCAGAGCAACTGCAAGGACACTGCCCATTCACAGAATAAAACCAGATTATCATCGGTGTTCAAGAATTAGTTGGTGCAATTTGGGGCAATTTACACGTTAAATACAAAGATCAGGTCTCACCACTTGTATCTTGCATTTATTTAAAGAGTATACACGATATCATCTTCAACTAAAATTCAATCTCATCAATTTAGCTTGTCAACAGAACAAAACAAAACAAAAAAGTGGGGGCGTAAATCCTTGATACCACCCAATCTTGGGAAAGTCACTTCAAAAAGTACTTTAAAATCATTTTACAATGCTATACTTCAGCAGCTAAGAATGCTCTGAAATACAAATAACCTTTAAGAGTTAAGAGTTGGGCAGCTCCTGCCTGTAATCCCTGCACTTTAGAAGGCCATGGCAGGAGGATCACTTAAGCCCAGGAGTTCAAGACCAGCCTGGGCAACACAGTGAGGCCCATCTCAACTACAAAAATAAGTAAATAAAAGAGTAAACAGTAGAGAAAAATCTGGAAAACTTCCAAATACTGAATAGATACCACGCTAAGATTTTATTTCTGATCTGAAATTAGCTCACGATTTAAAGCACCAAAATCCAAGCAGTATTTCCTTATATGTATAACCTCATCTCAGATCAAATAAGCCTTGTTGGTAATTTTTAAAAACGTTCCTTTTAAGTCACAAAAAATACTGTTTTTATCATTCTATCCTTGACTAGTCACAACTCAGTGCTTGCTATTTAACTGTGGTACTAATTCTAATTAAGACCTCCACTGCCTCCCAAAATAAAACTTCTTCTAAGTCATTTTAAATTTTTAAAAACTGCAGTTCTATACAAGTCAAAATGAACTTCAAGTAGAAAAGAAACAAAAAAATCATATTTCTAACACAAATTAACCATTTCAGTATTTAATTGTTCCTCAAAGTTAAGATGTATTCTACTTCATTAAATGCGTATGAGAAAAGGTTACCTACATTATGAAGTTTAAGAAACAGGCTAACTTTAGCATATAAACAGTTTGAATACAATTTAAAACTTTCAGGCATCTTATTTATACTCTACATTAGATAATCTTTAAATTACATCATAAGGTTTCCTATGTTAACTCCACACAAAATTTTATAATGCCGCCCACCCCATGTCAACTCAAAGTGTATACTAGTACTAAGTTTCAGACTCAAGTATTTCCAAACCAATGAACGCTCAAGGATCTTTTTGTTCAGTTATGCTGCAACTGCTCAATTCAAAGAATCACCTCAAGGGTGAAAAACAGCATACAAAGCAGACTTTTTTCAACCACTCTTTAACTTATTATTAATAATTTAAGAGTAACATATAATATACACTTACAAAAATCACTTGTGCTAATTCACTATTAAGAACTTTAAATTACCTTCTCCTTGAATACAAAGGCAATATACATCTTGAAGTCAAACTGGTCAGCTAGAGATTCTTTTTTCTTTCTAAGCTGAGCACGTAGTCTGTTCAGAGCTTGTTTCTTCCGGGAGTTTGGGTCCCCCATTTTGAAATAGAGGTGGTACTAAAGCCTTTGGAAATTGTCACTAAACTATGGGCACTTTTTCTTAAGACTCAAGTACAACAGAAACAAGTCATTTTTTTCCCTGCTAATATGATTGAATATCGAAAATCACGACTGTAACCCAAAAACTGTACCTTCTGGCAATATTAGCAGACTGTCATATTACAGGGTCAAGAAACAAAAGCTGCTGTCCAGTCATGTTTGGACAATAACGTTTGGGGTTAGCTGGGAAAAAGGGAGGGGAGAAAGGAAAGAAAGAGGAGAAAATACTTGAACTAACTTTCTGGAAAACACATTTGGCTCAACTGCCAAAATAAAGGCTTTGCGGAGAAATGAAAAGCCTATAATCAGGATTTAGGTGTGCAATAAAACACAGCTGACACCAGACCAATCCCTAAAATCCATCCGGATTTTCCCCCCTTTTTAGAAAAGGGATTAAGAAAAGGAACAGGGAGGGGGAACTGTGATCCTTGCTTTCCAAAGGAAAAAAAGGAAAAACCACCAAAACCAAACAAAACACCAAAACAGGGTAGGTGAATGAAACTGAAATATCCAATTAGATTTCACCCAGCCAGCTCCATGGCTGTAGTACCTAATTAATTCTTTGTTATTTCAGATTTCACTATTGCTATGTATTATCAGTGCTTGTTATTGATTACACTTGGTGGTGAGCATAGAGAAAAGTGCAAAACCGGTAGAGAAGGAAAGGGAGAGGTACAGGGTTTCCCTGCAATCAACTACAGTGTATACCGGGGGCGGGCAGCTGCTGCCCAAAAGAGCCATGAGAAAAAACAGCGGAGTCATTACCAGCTTCCCCATCACCCACATTTTCACCCTCAGGCGGCTGCTAACGCTGCTGCCAAGGAGAATCATGATGGCAGAGGGAAAAGGGGTATATAATACGGTATTAATTATTCCGGCTCTGTGGTTAGACCTGATTAATGCCCGGGTTCCCAACACCCCCAGCCCTGCAACTAGTCCTACATTCCCCAAGGGAGACTTCCCTGTGGATTTGCCCCCGTTCAAGTTGGTGGGGAGTGCAAATTATCTTCTGCTGAGCATTGCTGAGGCAAAGGTGGCGGGTTCTTCTCCCAAGTCCCAGGCGGTGCCCGGAGACCACCTGCCTTCCACCCCCCAGGTCCCACCCCCACCCCTTGCCTTCAGCGGCAGCGACTCACTCGCACCACGGGAGACACAGGATCACTCAGGTTTTCACTCATTTCATCGTGGAAACAATTCCCGCCCGGGTGGAGTAGGCGGGAGAGGGTAAATGGGAAGGATCAGTGGGAAAAAAAGAAAATAATCGTGTTAATATTACTTCTGAAATAAGCCCACCCACCCTTCCCCCAAAAAATTAATTTCCCGGATTAGCTCTCTCTCACGTTAAACAGACCATGTTTCCAAAGTTTGGATTGTTTAGGGTGGGGTTGTTAGTTTGTTTCCCGAGGGGCAGGGGATGGAACTGAGGCAGCTAGGGCGGGGTAGGTGACGGGTAAATCCCCTCCCCGTCCCCGCGGAGCCCGGGACTCACGGACCGACTCTCGGGCGGGGTTTGGGCCCTCTAGCCGCAGCCTGCGGGCGGAGCGGTGGCGGCGGCGGCGGCGGCGAAAGAGGCGGCGGCGGCGGGGGCGCTGCTCGCTGCACTGGCAGGAGCCATGTCAAGAGAAAACCACCAGCCAACTGAGCCCCGCCATCCCCGCTGCAGTGCGCACTGTGACCCGGCCGCCCGCGCTGCTGCCGCCGCTCAGCCCCCACCTGGGACCCATAGTCTGGCTCGGCGCCCCGGGCGGCGACGGAGAAGGACGCGGAGACAGCGGCGACAGGGAGAGAAAAAGAAAAAGAGGAAAAACGAGGAGAAAGATGGGGAGCTGGATTGGTACTGGCGGCTGAGGGGGAAAGGAAAGGAAGCCCTGCGCTACGGCTCAGCGAAGTAAACCCCCCAAAATAAAGTTATTTCAGTTCAAGCATCTGCTCTCGAGTCTCTTCCTGCTACAATCGGATTCCGGCTCTCAGGAAAGGTCGAGGAGACCCGGAGGGGGGAAAAGCCGAAGCGGTTGCTGAGCGTCCGCGGCGATAACGCCTCGTTCCCCCCCCCAACGATGGCTGCAGATGCGACGACGGCCTCGGGCACCTCCCGGGTCCGGGGCAGAGTCGCGTTTGAGAAAAGAAACGAGAACAAACAACTTAAAATGGCACCGACGGCCGCTGCGTCACCCGCCTCTCACCGGCACCGCCCCGGTGCGACTGCGACTGCGCATCTGCGGGACCTCACCATTTGCGCAGGATCAAAGGGGGAGAAAGGATTGGAGATAGGAAAGTTTTCAAGGTGACCAAAAAAGAGGAAAACAGGTCAAGAAGAGAGAATAGTAACAAGACTTTTAAAAGTTGAGTCTTTGAAGTTAACGTTTCCATTTCAGCAATCTCGCCTCATGCGGGAGTTTGAGAGTTGAGACTCCTCTCTCCTCCTGTATGGAATTTTCAAGGGGCGTGGAAAGGGTCTCCCCGCCACTCCTTCCGCCCCCTCTTCTTCAGGAAGTCCCAGCCTCCGGAGTTGGCTTTTCGCCCCGCCCCGATGACATCATAAAAGCACGCCCTCTGCCCCCCCCTCAACAAAACACCCGGATGGAGTCGCACTTCCGAGTCTCGTCAGCTTCTCAGAGTAAGGCTGGGCGCGGGAAGGAGCTGAAGCAGCGCGCTGGGCGGGCCAGAGCAGGGGAAGTGGGCGGAGAGTGGGCGAGGGCAGAAAGAAAAGGAAAGTGTGTTGGAAGATTGGAAGCTTTTTATTTCGATTCTCATAATTGTTAGTCCTTTTGGGGGTCGGCCCCGCGGTATCTTGCAGCAACAAACCTGGAACTCACTTCGACCCCTGGAATTTAAACGGCGTGCGGGAGCCGGTGTTTCACGTTAGTTCCCCTTTCCTCTGTCCCCACCCCGCCACGTGCGCAGGCAGGGAGGGCGGTCCTCAAGCTTCGAGCAAGGTCAAAGACGCTGTTCAGACGTTGCTGCTGTGGCTTAGGAGAGGAGCAGCCCAGTTCTGACCCGTGCATTTTTGCCCCCTACTGTCAGAACATAATTTCTGTTAGGATTCGCCAAGACCTCAGACCTAACAGACCCACAGCCTGCCCCTTGTGTGGTTCTGTCTTCATCAGAACGTTTGCCCCCGAATCGCACGTCCTTGGCACCAAAGAGCAGTGAGTCCATTTCTGAGAACTCTACTGTGCTCGTGAAAACACAGTTATGTAAGTACTTAGCAAAGGTCGGTACTCCACGTAAGCAATACTTGTATAGTCATTGGCTACTCTGCTGAGAGTTTAGAAGTCCATTGGGACCTCAATTACTACTTTTCACTTCGTGAAATCAAAATAGATCAGCTTTAATAACATTGTTTCTGCCAAAGAGCTGAGACAATGAACCAAAAGAATAACTGGTACCCACGCTTCAGTGTATATTGTCCAGAACCAAAGGGCGACAGTCCTGAGGTTTCCAAATAATTTCTGATCTCGGAACATAAAGCTTGTATTTTCCTAGTCCTTTGCAGATTTGTTTTCAAAATGATGTAGCTGTGGAAAACTCACGTGGGTCAAACTAAAAAACTTCGTGTAGTTTATGGCATTGGTTTTAAAAAGAAAGAATTTAAAAATTAGGCCCAGCATGGTGGCTCACGTCTGTAATCCTAGCACTTTTGGAGGCCAAGGCGGGCGGATCACTGAAGTCAGGAGTCCGAGAGCAGCCTGGCCAACATGCTGAAACCTCGTCCCTAGTAAAAATAAAAAAATCAGCCGGGCAAGGTGGCAGGCGCCTGCGGTCCAGCTACTCGAAAGGCTGAGGCAGGAGAATTGCCTGAAGCCGCGAGACGGAGATTGCAGTGAGCTGAGATCGCTCCATTGCACTTTAGCCTGGGCGACAGAGTGAGCCTCCATTAAAAAAAAAAAAAAAGAACGTGTGAGCCAGTATGATCTTTAGGTGATCCACCTGCCTCAGCCTCCCAGAGTGTTGGGATTACAGTCCGTGAGCCACCACACCCAGTGGCTCATATGTTCTTGACCTTGCTCTGACTTGTATCCATGATCAGCTTCATGGAAGAATTTTTTAAATAACAGTTTTATTGAAATATAATTCACATGCCATATTTGCCTGCTTCAAGTGTACAATCCAGTGGTTTTTAATATATTCAGTGTTGTGCAACCGTCACATTATCACCCCAAGAAGAAATTCTATACCCATTAGCAGTCACTTCTTTGTAATTTATGCTCTGTTTAAAGATTTGCCTTTTCTGAAATTTCATATAGATGAAATCATTAAATATGTAGTCCTTCGTGACTGGCTTCTTCACTTAGCATAATGTTTTCAAGGTTCATGTTGTAGCATATATCAGTACTTAATTCTTTTTTATTGTGGAATAACATTGCATTGTACGAATATTCTGTATTTTCTTTATTCATCAATTGATGAACATTTGGTTTGTTTCTGCCTTTTGGCTGTTATAAGTAATGCTGCTATGAACATTCGTATAAAAGCTTTTGTGTAGATGCTTTTAATTCTCTTGATATGTACATAGGAGTGGAATTACTGGCATATATGTTAATACTATCTTTTGCCGTGTAAGAAACTGCCAGATGTTTTCCAAGTAGGTTGCACCATTTTACATTTCTACCAGCAGTGTATGAGGGTTCTAATTTCTCCACATTCTTGTTATGTTGTCTTGTTTAGTGTAACCATCCTAGTGAGTATGAAGAAGTATGTCATGGTGGTGGGTTTTTTTTTTTAATTTTGGGTTTTTTTTTTTTTTTTGAGTCAGTTTTGCTCCTGTTTCCCAGGCTGGAGTACAATGGTTGGATCTCGGCTCCCCACAACCTCCATCTGCCAGGTTCAAGCAATTCTCCTGCCTCAGGCTCCTGAGTAGCTGGGACTACAGGCATGTGCCACTGTGTCCGGCTAATTTTGTATTTTTAGTAGATACAGGGTTTCTCCATGTTGGTCAGGCTGTCCTTGAACTCCTGACCTTAGGTGATCTGCCCGCCTTGGCCTCCCAAAGTGCTGGGATTACAGGAGTGAGCCACCATGCCCGGTGTCATGATGGTTTTGATTTTCTTTTACTCAATGATTAATGATGTTGAGCATCTTTTCATGTGATTATTGACCATTCTAATATCTTCTTTGGTGGAAATATTTATTCGGAGCTTTTGCTCATTTATATTTATTTATTTGTTTATTTATTTTTTGAGACACAGTCTCACACTGTTGCCCAGACTGGAGTTCAGTGACACAATCTCAGCTGACTGCAACCTCCACCTCCTGGGTTCAAGCAATTCTACTGCCTCAGTCTTCTGAGTAGCTGGGACCACAGGCCCCCACCGCCATGCCCAGATGATTTTTGTATTTTTCGTAGAGACGAGTTTCGCCATGTTGGCCAGGCTGGTCTCAAACTCCTGACCTCAAGTGACCCACCTTCCTCAGCTTCCCAAAGCGTTGGGATTACAGGCGTGGGCCACCAAGCCCAGCCTTTTGCCCATTTTTAATTTAAAAAAATGTTTCTTAAGTTATCGAGGTGTAGAATTTATTTATTGTAGATACAGGTTCCCTGTCAGATATATAATTTGCAAATGATCTCCCCCATTCTGTTCTTCCACTTTCTTGGCGGTACCCTTTGCAG